GAATGTTCCAATAGTGCAGTGGCTTTGGAAAACATTTGGCAGTTCCTTATGAAGTTAAACAGAAATTTATTTTACATCAGTTCTGCTCCGAGATCCCAATAAGGGGCCTGTATCATCCACCCAACAAAAAGGAAAATATATGCTCACACAGATATTTGTACATGACTGTTCATAGCAGCTTTATTCATAATAGTGCAAACAATCTGAATTTCCATCAGCTGATAAAGAAAAGGTGGTCTATCTATACAATGGAATACTGTTCAGCAATGAAAAAGAATGAACTTTTGATACGTGTTATATACCGCATGTATGAATCTCAAATACATTATGCAAAATAAAAGAAGCAAGACATAAAGACTACATCTTGTATGATCTCATTCATATGAAAGGTCTGAAAAAGGCAACTCTATAAAAACAGAAATCAGATTAGTGGTTAACCTGGGGCAGGGGATGCAGAGAGGGGTTGACTGCAGTCTCAAGAGATCCATTGGGGTGATGGACATGTCCTAAAATAGCTGTGGTGATGGTTGCACAATTGCGTACATTTACTCAAAATCACCGAATTATCTATTCAAAATAGTGACTCTAGTGGTATGTAAATTACACCCCGATAAAGCTGTTAAAAAGGTTTTTCCCAGTCAGGGTTGAGATCTCTGGGTTAAAAGCCAAGTGTCCTAGGAACCCCTGAAGTGGGACCCAAGCTCAGTTGGTATCCTCCCTCCCACCCCACTAGGGCTCTAGGTCAAAATTTCCTCTGATCTCAGAATTTCAGGAATCTGCCAGCTATCACCCTGGCTCATTTTTGGAGAAGTCTGAAATTTAATTCTGCTGACTCAGCTCACATGGGAGTAAACATCCTGGCTCTTGACCACTATGCCCCAAATAGAAAAATGGGCATCAGAGGGAATGGGTGGGATGACGGTGGGGACCATCACAGGTGCCCCCACCCCATCCTGAGCTATCCCAAACACCAGCTGGGGAGGCTGAGCGCTAACCCAGAACAGAAACTGAATTTGGGTTCAAAGACCCTGGTTCCACCTGCACCTCCCCGGGTCCCTGGCTGTGCTCAGGATGACTCATCCGCCCAACATGCTATACCTTCCACACCTCCAGGATTTGGCACAGCTTTTCCTTCCCCTTCTGCCCACCTGGAAATCCTCTTCTTCCATCGAGATTCAGCTCGGGGTCATCTCTTCTGAAGTCTCCTCTTTTGCATGCCCACCCCCTGGACATCCCAACACAGCCCTGATCTCCCTGCAGCCAGGGTTTCTTGTATGTGTCTGCCTCTTCCACTCCTCTGTGGGCTCCCTGAGGGCAGAGCCTGCCTCGTGTAGTGCTGGTTCGAGGACAAGCCCCAGCACACATGGGGCCCAGCCGAGTGAGGAAGTGGAAGGGAGCCTGACACCACTTCAGACTGCCAGGGACGGGAAGACCAGGGGAGACGCCCCATTCCCCTAATCTATTCCTGGCCTAAATGGCTTCTCTCATGTGGCCCAGAGTGGCCAAAGAGCCACTCCCTTTGGAAACCACAGTTTGGGATGGAAGCCTCCCTTCCACAGCCTTCCTGGAGCCAGGCCCACTCCCCTTGGACACTGCCTTAGTGTTATTTAAACGGCAGAGCAGGGCCTAGTGGTAGCTCAGGCCTGGCCTGGCCGGGGGCAGCCTGGGACAGGGTCACGCTGGAGCCTCCCTTCCAAACTGCCAGGACTTCAGGGGTTGAAATGTGTGGTTCCCACTCAGCTGCTTCTTGCTGTGGTGGGGAAGAACAAGGGGGTTAGGGTATGTGGTGACCTCAGCCGGTGTATTTATATTGCTGCTTTAACACGGAGACTGCGCTTTGTCCTGCATTGAAGCTTCTCTGGAGAAGCCCTGCTTAGCCCAGCCACCTCTCCCAACCCAGCCCTGCTGTCCAGAGATGCTTCTTAGTCCAGAAAAGTTGATGGTGCACTTGAATGCCCAGGGTCTTTGCTTGACCTGCTCATCCGCATCTCGGGAGTGGAGGTCACAGGCTGCTGACCTGGACTCTGCCACAATGGGCAGCTCATGCTTTTCTTGGCATCCCAAAGGGTGCTGCCTTGGTGTTCCCATCACAGAAACCAGAGCCTGAAATAGAAGCGGGGATACCCGAAAAAGTCACCCAGACTTCAATCCAGTGTGGTCTGCCCACAGTCAACAAATATTTAGAGTGTCAGGCACGGCACTGGGCGGTGGGCCACAGGGGAGAACAAGCCCTGGCCCTGCCCTTAAGCTGTCACAGCCTAATGGATGAAGAAAATAGACAGAGCCCTGGCCCGTGTGGCTCATGTGGTTGGAGTGTTGTCCCATGCACCAAAGGGTCACAGCTTCGATTCCCAGTCAGGGCACATACCTGATTGGGGCACATACTAGAGGCAACCAATTGATGTTACTCTCTCACATCAATGTTTCTCTCTCTCTCTCTCAAAAAGAAAAAGAGAGAGAAGGAGAGAGAGAGAGAAAATGGACAAGACACTGAGCACAGGCTGATATGGAAATACAGAAAAGGGGATCTGACCTAGCCTTGAAGGAGGTGAGTTCAGGAAAGGCTGCCTGGTAGGGGTGACATCTAAGCTAAGACTTGAAGGCTGAATTAGGCAGAGGGGAGAAAGAATGAGAGTAAATAGTATATGCAAAGACCCAGGATCAAGAGACGACTTGGTATACCTAAGTAGTTCAAGATGGCTGGGACTGGGTGAAGAAGAGATGATTTGAAGGTCCAGGTCGTGAATAACATGAATTATATGAAGTGTTTGGCATAGTCCATGGCAAACGTTCTGCCTTGGTACCTCTCTTTATAATCATGGGTTTGTGAGCCAAGTTAAGGGTTTTGGGACTTTATCCTGCAGAAAATGGTGAGACATTCAGGGGTTTTAAGCCCACGGTGCCTTGATCAGATTTACAATATGAACAGACTTAAAGAGAACCCTGTGACTGCAGGGTGGATTATGGACTAGGAAAGAAGGCCAGAGGACCAAAAGACCAGTTTGGAGACTACTATAATAATTCAGAAAAGGGATATAGGGTAGCTTCAAATATTCCCCATACATTAGAAGACAGAATACAGCAATGCAAATGAACTATAGCTACACACAACAACATGTATGGGTCTTGTAAGTGCAATGTTGAGCAAAAGAAGGCACAAAATAGGACTGTATAATCTCATTTATATCAAGTTAAGGAACAGGCAAACAAAACTGTAGTATTCTTACCCTGGCCAGTTTGGCTCAGTGGTTGGAGTGTCAGCCTGCGGACCAGAGTCCTGGGTTTGGTTCCCGCTAGGGGCACGTACCAAAAAACAAACAAAAAAACTGTAGTGTTCATGGGATGCACACTTAGGTGGTAAAATTATAAAAGCAAGAAAGTGATCATCACAAAAGTAGTGGGGAGAGTGATTGCCCCATTGGGGAATTCTGCTTGACAACAACTTGAGCTGAGTTGTTTTCCCAGGTGTTCACTTTGTGGCAGACCCATTAAGTTTTACATTTCTATTTAGTGCACATTTCTGTATGTGTGCTATTCTTTTTGTAGGCCATTTATTGATTTAGGTGGGGGGAGGGGGAGAAAAACATCAATCAGTTGCCTCCCTCAGGCACCCACCTGGAATCAAACCCCAGGACCTTTCGGTGTACCGGACAGCGCGCCAACCACCTGAGCCACACTGGCCAGGGCTGTATTATATGCTATTCTTTTTAAAAAATTGATTTTTAGAGAAAGACTGAGAGGGAGAGAGAAACATCGGTGTGAGAATGGAAATATGATTGGCTGCCTCCTGCTGGCCCTCAATTGGGGATGGAACCTGTAGTCTGGGTATGTGCTCCGACTAGTAATCAAACCCTCCACCTATGGTTAGTGTGTGGGACAACACTCCAACCTAGCCACACCGGTCAGGGTATTTCTTGACTTTTTGATAGAGAACCTTAGTTCTTAATTACTATGCATAGTACTGCCTCCAGTTTTGACATTCCCAGTCCCACAAAGCTGCATGGGGCCAGGCATAATGGACACCAGAGATGCTGCCCAGGTTGTTTCTGCAGCCTCTGGTTCCACACAGGAAGCTCAGTAGCAGGTGGCAATTTTGTCTCCCTCTCAAGCTACCACTGCCAAGTCAGCTCATGTGGGAGGCCAGAGGTGCAGCTAGAAGTCTGCGGGCCTCTCCCAAAGAAATCTGCATGGAGCTGGGCATGGGGCACCTAGCAACTGCTGGTCCTCTGCTGGGCTAACTTTTGTGGCTGGTTTGAGGTCTGTGAGGACTTGCACTGCAACTAGTGGCCACAGATGTCACTGTTGGAAGGCCCCTCAGATGCACTTAGTTTATAATTTCACAACTTTGCCAAAGCCATTTTTTCACAGTGTAAAATCTTTATGTATTTTGAATTAGCCAGCTGGAACGCGCACATCTTTATTGTGTCTCCCACAACTGTTCTTCTACTCAAGAGCACTTATAACCCGTGCAGCCTCGGAGAAGGTTCGATTTGCACGCAGCCTGGCTATGAAAAATTGCTGTAAAACACTCTGGTCAGAGGCCCCGAGAGGGCAAGCAACTGGCTCGAAGTGGCAGAGCGGCGCGGGGGCTAGGACCCGCACCCACGTTCCGTTCCCAGCCTACGTCACCAGGACTCCGCCCTCGGAGCCCAGCCCCCGCAGGTTTCAAACCCGCCCGCGCCCCCTGGTGCGCACACTCAGTCCGACCTTGCTGGCGTACCGCCCACCCAGTTCCTTTGGCCCCAGCGGGTGTGCTGGCGTGGGAAACTGAGGCAGGGAGACTGCTTGTGAATTCGTTCCTTCCTCAGTCCACACCCCAGGGCCCACAAAGCTGCCTCCTCCCCCTGACACGCATGGAAGAGCAGGGAAAGACGGGAGAAAGGGGAGGGGGCCAAAAGCAAGCAGGGTCTGAGGACCCGGCCGGTCCTGCCACACTCAAGATGGCGACCGGCAGCGGCGAGGTCCCTCAGAGGCGGTACCAGCGCATGCGCAGCGCGAAGTCCCGGCCCGGGACACAAGATGGCGGGAGCGGCGCTGGGGAGGGCGAGGCGGAGGCGGCAAAACGGGCAGCCGAGCAAAACGTGTAGCCGCATCCCCTCGAGTCCGCTTCAGGCAGGTAAGAGCCCCAGGAAGCCATGGTCCCGCTGCGAGCCGTGCCAGGATCCGGGAGTCCGAAGCCGAGCGGCAGCGGCCTCCGACGCTTTCCACTCGGGGCCACCGCTTGCTTCGTCTGTCGCCGCCGCCGCCGCCATCTTAGGCCTGCGAGTGGTCGGCCGGGCCGGTGGCTTGGGTGAGGGAGGTGGGCCTGGAGAGCGCGGGCGGAGCGGCCTCTAGGGCCCCTCCGCTGCCGCCGCCGCCACCGCCTTTGTGTCGGGCTCCGACTCTGAGTCGCCTGAGCCCGGGGGCGGGAGCGCGCGGCGGGGCGGGGGGCGGAGCCCGGGAGATGGGCCGGCGCGCGCGCGCCAAACAGCCCGCCCCCGCTGGGGTGGGGGAGTGGGGAAGGTGTGCGCGCGCTGGGGGTCGCTCCTCCTTCGCGCGCCCCCCGCACCTGCGCACTTTGCAAGTCCTTTGACTCCGCCCTACTGGGTTGGAGAATTCTGATTGGTGTGTTACTGAGATGATCCCGCCCCATCTCTCTCCAATCCTGGAATCAGACTCTACGTTATGGTGGGTTCCTTTGGTTACGCAGGTACAATTGTTTATCCTTAAACTGCTTGGCTGTCAAACTGCGGTATGCTGGGGGCCAGCGAGCTACGAATAAATAAAAACGTTATTTTAATAATAGCACTTATCTCTTACTGAGAATGTACAACATGCTAGACTCTACGTAGAGACCATAGAGGTTGAGTGTGGCTTATAAATCGAAAGGTGGCAGAAGGGTCTGGAACGTGGGTCTGCCCAAACCCGGCTGGTACTTTGGTCAACGACCTGCTGCATCCAAATCAGCCGGGACATTAAAAAATATTTCATTGTGAAAAATTGATGGTTTGAAATGGTATAAAGCATAAAAGCTGGTCATTCCATCTTTCAGTTCCACGCTTGAGGTTCATTTGAAAAATACAAATTCTTGCCCGGCTGGTGTGGCTCAGTGGTTGAGCATTGACCCATGCACCAAGAGGTCGCTGGTTTGATTTCGGGTCGGGGCACATGCTCAGGTTGTGGGCCACATCTGTGGGGGACATGCAGGAGGTGGACAATCGATGTTCTCTGTCATCATGTTTCTATCTCTCTCCCTCTCCCTTCTTTCTCTAAAATCAATAAAGAAAAAATAAATAAATAAAAAATACAGATTCTTGTGTACATCCCCTCCCCATTTCTGACTCCTAAGATGTGGAGTGAGGGACGTGAAGAGCCCCCTGATGGTTCTGATGCATAACCGGTTTTGGAAACACTGCAGTGTCCCCATTTGGCATCATGAAGCTGTGCTGCTGTGCCTCCTCTGCATCGTTAATCTAACTGGTGCATCAATATTACACAGTATTTCTTGGGGAAAATAGTTTTCAATAAAGATGAACATGCTGTGTTATATAATATATTTGCATGTGTGTGTTTTTTTAAAGCCCTCATACAAAGAAGTGTGTTTTTCACCCACTGTGGGTGGCTTTGGACTTCCCTCTGATCTATGATATGTATGGTTGCTCATTTTTTCTCGTCTTAGGGATACTTTGGTTGACAGGATGAGCTATACAATTTGTAGGGGTCCAGTATGCAAAATGAAAATGTGGGCCCCTTGTTAAAATTTTTTTAAAAATTTAAAATTTCAAGAGTGACAGCAGAACATTAAATTAGGCTCAGGGCCCTCCTTAACATGGAGCTCTGTGCAACTGCAGGCTGCAAGTCTGGGAGGGTGAACCTGTTGGTTGAAAAGTACCATTTCATCCCCCAAGCCCCCAGCTGTCCCATAGTGTGTCCTGCCCTGTCCTGGGGGCTTCCAATTTGCTCTTCATCATTGCCCATTTTGCTGTTGTGCCTGCTTTGCAGTGTTCCACAGGTCTGTGATTCTTTGCTTCTATTTGCTCTGCAGTTGCTGATGCAAGGAATTCCCTGGGGCCCCGTTCACTCCACTGCTGACCAGCCCACCCACGTGCTGAGTCTTTCTGCAGGCCTCCCCCCTGCCTCTGTGGGACACTGTGACGTGGGTCTATCCGGCTGGAGAAGAAAACCCTCTCATGCTAGCATTGCAGACTCCGGAGGGTGAGAAAAAGAGGGACCTTGTTCAGCCTTGAGACCTGTGGGCTCAGCCCCAAGGCACCAGGAACCATTCTTCCTCAGAGAACCAAGGCAGCTACAGCTTTTTCTCCCCTTGGTCAGTGATTCCAAACCTTTTTGTTATCATGGCCCCTTTTTGTTGTATGTATGTCCTTGCATTTTATTTGCCAAACTGTACCAATGAAGTAACCATTCACTTTTCCCTTTCCAAATTAACAAAGATGTCTACAACTGAGTGTACAATAAAATCAGTGTCCCAATGATTCCTATGATGTTGTTAACAGCCAATCAGAGTTTCTGATCAGCATGAGATAATCAGTGTGACCATAATGATAAAATTTCAGCAAGCAAAGATAACTGACGTTTAAATGTGCCTTTGTGGTCTTTTGATGGGTAAGCGTTTGGTTTCTTTTGGGTATTTTGACATAGTGAAAACACCATTAGGATCACCATTCTGGTGACAGTTGGCCACCTAGGAGTCGAACAGTCAGGCTGGGAGCTACTTCGTTTATTGAGACATATGCTGGGTGTGTTTTGTGTGGGGTAGTAGGTAGTACACATCTGAAGGAGCTGACCTCCTTCCTGGTATTTAAATAAAATTTTATCTGGAGATTATGAAGGACTGAATTCAATATTCCTTTTTAGTTCCACTGGTTCTTTTAGCAACAGGTTGCTTCCTGCTTCCTGCCCTGTAGTGTAAAATGAAGCATCCAATTAGATGCCATGTCCCTTCCCGGGCTATGCTTTGTGCCAATTAGATTTTATTGGATAAGAGCAGGAAAGAGGAGTTACAATTCCTTCTTGTGGGAATAGCTCTCAAGGGCAGACCCTGTTTGGTCTTGTCTGTCACTTGATGCTTTGTAAATATTTGCAGAATAAACAGAGTTCCTGTTGGGTCCAGGTACCCTGTTGAGCACTCTGGAGAGAGTTAAACTAGACCCAATTCCTAGTCCTAGTGGGGGAAAAATCCAGTTGATAAACCACAATGTAGATGTTCATGGCCCTGAGGAGGGACTCTGACCACCTTGCTTGGGGAGGGGAGTCAAGGAAGGCTTGAACCTAGCGGCAGGCGCAGCAGAGAATTGGGGAAAGAGCACTTCAGGCAAAAGGAACAACAGGAATGCACCCATTTTACAGTTGAGAGAACTGCACCTTAGATCCCAGGACTCTTTCTGTGGCACCATGCTGGCCCTCCAGGGCAGGACTGGCTCCTTTCTCCACATCTGCAAGTGGTCACTGGGACCCTCTACGTTGTAATTGCTGGGTGGTGGGTGGAAGTGACCTCCATGCCCTGCTGGCCCTGACACCCTTTGGTCCTCTGTGTGGCAGGTCCGGTGTGGGTGCTGAGATGGCCAATGAGAATCATGGCAGCCCCCGGGAGGAAGCGTCCTTGCTGAGTCACTCCCCAGGCACCTCCAATCAGAGCCAGCCCTGTTCTCCAAAGCCCATCTGCCTGGTGCAAGACCTCCCAGGTACTGGCAAGGGGCAATGGCAGGGTGGCGGGGTCAGAAGGGTGCCCTGAGAGGAGCCCTGACCCAGGCTGGGTTCCACGCTTGTTTGCAGAGGAGCTGGTGCATGCGGGCTGGGAGAAGTGCTGGAGCAGGAGGGAGAACCGTCCCTACTACTTTAACAGATTCACCAACCAGTCCCTGTGGGAGATGCCTGTGCTGGGCCAGCATGACGTTATTGTAAGTTCCAGCTTGGGGCAGGGGTCTCAGAGCAGCCTCTGGCATCTGGGTCTTCCCCTAATGTACCCTGAACGGCTATTGTCTGCCTAGTCCTGGGGATACTATGACAGAAGGACAGACACAGTTGCCGTCATGGAACCTGGACTCATATAGGTTGACTGGCATGTAGACAGATAATTAGTATAGTGTGTGATACTGAACTTGCACTACATGTTGGATACTGTGCTTAGGACACAGTTGTGAACAAGATAGACAGGGTCCTGCCCTTGCACTCTCAGGGGGCACATGATCTACTGGAGGGAACTAGTAGGATTACAGTGTGGCACTTGCATGAAGGAGGGTGTTCAAGTACGGGGAGGTGGGGGAGTGTTCTGAAAGCTTCTCTGAATTAGTGGTTAAGATGAGAAGGTTGCAATGGAAAGTGGTAAGGGGAGAGCAAGCATAGTCTAGAAATTGCAGTGTAATTGTGGTAGGGGAGGTATGGGCGATCTGGTGGGAGTGTGGACTTCTGGATCTCTGTCACTTGGGGCAGAGTTTCTTTTCTTGGGAACAGTCAAGCCAGTTGGCATGCTCATTTTGCAGAGGAAGTCACTGAGGCTCCGAGAAGTGAAATGACTGGCCCAAGACCTCACAGCCAGTAAGAGGCAGAACAAGACTTGTACCTGATATGATTTCAGGGCCCCACTGCCCACCATCAAATTCATACTCTCGGTGTTACCAAAGGAGTTCCATCCACAGGGCTTTACTTAAAAAAAAAGTGTATCTTGAGTTTTTCCTTCATTCCTGGCTTTCATTCTGGTTCTTAAGGAAAATAAACAAACGTATTGAGTGCTGACCTTATGCCAAATACCACATTAAGCTGGTCATATTCATTGACTTGTTGAATCATCTCAATGGCGAGGTACCATGGCCATTTTGAAGGTGAGGGAATTAGAAAGGGAAGTAACCTCCAAAGTCACACAGTTGCAAGTAGCAGGTAGGAATGGAGCGCAGTGTTCTTTCTGCATCCCAGCCCCTCTGTTCTTGTCCAAGTAGGAGCAGGGGGCGGGGGCATCAGCATTCTGCAGTTCTGGGATTCCTAAGCTGCTGGCTCTGGTTGCAACTCTGCTGGTCTCCCTCCTCCAGTCTGACCCTTTGGGGCTGAATGTGACTCCACTGCCCCAAGACTCAAGCTTGGTGGAAACCCCTCCGGCTGAGAACAAGCCCCGAAAGCGGCAGCTCTCGGAGGAGCAGCCAAGCGGCAATGGTGTGAAGAAACCCAAAGTGAGTGTCTGAGGCTCTCTAGTAGGCAGCTAGCAGGTTCTCTGCAGGGGCTGGGCATTGGCAGGTTAGTCAGGAGGGGCCCGGGGCACAGCTCCCCAGATGCACATTGCACTGGAGCCGTTGGCCAATTCTCCTAACTTGATGCCTTTGACTGTTTTGCTCCAGATCGAAATCCCTGTGACACCCACAGGTCCATCGGTGCCCAGCTCCCCCAGTGTCCCAGGAACCCCAACACTGAAGATTTGGGGGACGTCCCCTGAAGATAAACAGCAGGCAGCTCTCCTCCGACCCACTGAGTGAGTCCCTGCTGATTGGCTTGAGGGCACCCTGCCTGGGACTGAGGGTGTGGTGATGGGCAGGGTGCCCCTCCTCCCTTTTCTCCACTTTCTTCATTGCTTCTCTCCGTGCTCCAAGGGTGTACTGGGATCTTGATATCCAGACCAACGCTGTCATCAAGCACCGGGGCCCTTCAGAGGTGCTGCCCCCGCATCCTGAGGTGGAGCTGCTCCGCTCCCAGCTCATCCTGAAGCTCCGGCAGCACTACCGGGAGCTGTGCCAGCAGCGAGAGGGTAACTGTCTCCTGGGCCTCGGTCTCCTTTGTTCTCATGCAGGAGCCGAGGTCAGCCAGCTGGGCTTGGGGATGGCACCCTGGAGCCCAGTGGTTGAGCACGCGCTGTCGAGGACAGGCCTGGTGGAGTCGCAGCTCCACTAAGCGCTGGCTCTGTGACCTTGGGCTCATCACTTAGCCTTTCTGCATGTGGGTTTCATCATCTGTAAGATAGGGACAATAACAGTGCCTCCATAAAGGGTGGCCAACATCAGTAACAAAACCGAAACAATGAACACTTTCAGAGTGCTTACTATTTGCCAAGCACTGTTAGAAGGCTTTTTAGGTATCTGTAGAAGTATTTAAAAATGACAGTACCTGTACCTCACAGTATTACGGCAAGAAGTGGGATGAAAAGTGCTCAATGAATGGTAGCTTTATTTAATTAGTAAATAAAACTTCTTAAGTTTGCTGAAATATAGAATACCTCCTCTTCTTACTCTATATAACACTTACTAAACATACTCTATAAAATAGTGATTCTCAGAAGGTACTTTGGAAAATGTTGCTTAGAATAGAGGCTTCTGATGTAACGGGTCATGTCTTGTTTCCTGTTGCACCTCCAATGCCCTCATGATACCTCCCGTGTTCTGGGCTATGTGGAGTCTGACTAAATTCAGACCGTCATTAGCTTTCCTGTTCTGCAGGCATTGAGCCCCCTCGGGAATCTTTCAATCGCTGGATGTTGGAACGCAAGGTCGTGGACAAAGGCTCTGACCCAATGTTGCCAAGCAACTGTGAACCGGTGGTATCGCCTTCCATGTTTCGTGAAATCATGAATGACATTCCCATCAGGTATAGCCCCAGAGCTGAGGCTGACCCAGGGCCATTTAGTTTGTGCCCAGTTCTGTACAGAAGGGCTCTAACTCTGTCCGCTCTCTAACCTAGGTTATCCCGAATCAAGTTCCGGGAGGAAGCCAAGCGCCTGCTTTTTAAATATGCAGAGGCTGCGAGGCGGCTTATCGAGTCCAGGTTTGGCTGTCTCTTCTGCCCCCAGCAGGGTGGGTCTGTGGTGGAGGTGCGGGTTTCATAGGCCACTGGCTCACACTCCCAAAGGCAGAAGAAAGGCTGTGATGTAAGCCTAGGGGGTTGATGTCCGAATGCCAGTGGAAGTGGGATGGGAGGAGTAAGGAGCGTGGAGCAGACACTTAACTGTTGGCCCCCCTATGTGCCCTCTGGCAGGAGTGCATCCCCTGACAGCAGGAAGGTGGTCAAGTGGAACGTGGAGGACACCTTCAGCTGGCTGCGGAAGGACCACTCAGCCTCCAAGGAGGACTATATGGTGAGTGGCCCTGGATAAGGTCAATGGAAAGGCTCTGTGGCCACTTCCTCCCAGAAGCCCACTCTGCTTGCCCAGGCTAGGCAGGGCCCTACAGCAACCTGTTCTTGTGCAAAACAGCAGACCTTTGACGCTCATCAGCTCCCAAACTCACGTAAATGGAGATGTCAACTAGGCTCCTGGCTTTCTCCCGAAGGACATTTCTAGTAAGGTTCTTAATGGAATCCTGTGCTTGGCCCCACATTATCAGAAGCGGCCTCTTAAACTTAATGAACAATCAAGATCTCTTGAGTAGATGTTTGGAAATAGTTTAACAGACTGTCCTTTCTTGGGTGTGTGTGCTCATATTATATTTAAGAGCTACCACAAGATTCAGGGGGTTTTTTTGGGGACATGCCCCTAGCAGGAACCGAATCAGGGAGGCTCTGGTCCACAGGCCGACGCTCCAACCGCTGAGCCAAACCGACCAGGGCAAGATTCAGTTTTTAATTCCCTACTTTAACGTGTCCAAAACAGTTTTTTTCTGGCCCAAACCCATCACTTTTTAAATTCTCCATTAGCACTAGCAATGGGCTTTCTTTTCAGGACCATTTTTCACAAGAGACAAGGTTTCGCACTTCACGATAGTAACTGTGTACTTGACACGTAGAGATTGACAAAGGTAGGTGTATGCTCACTAGCCAGAGTGACTCATTTTCACTCATCACTTTCACATGTGTAATTTGCAAAATTAAAAATGCCTAGTTATTCTTGCAAGTCGCTAAAAGCTCAAATTTTAAATCTGCAATAGTCAAGAAAGGACCCGATTTTATAATGGTCTCTCTCCCCAGCAAGTATCATTGGATCTGGCACAATGTACTCCAACATTAAGTGATGGCATTTATTGGATACTTATTGTATGCCAGGGGCTTGTTAAGCCCTTAACAGGAATGATCATATTTAATATTCTAACTACAGCCCGGCCAGTGTGGCTCACTGGTTGAGCATCGACCCATACACCAAGAGCTCGCCAGTTTGATTCCCAGTCAGGGCACATGCCCAGGTTTTGGGCCCAGTTCCCAGTGGGGGGCATGCAGGAGGCGGCCAATTGATGTTCTCTCTCATCACTGTTTCTATCACTCTCTCTCCTTTCCTCTCTAAAATCAATAAAGAAAACATATATTAAAAAAATATTCTAACTACCTTGTCAGGTAAGTATTTCATGTACTCTTAATAGTTGAGGAATAAGATTCAGAGACACCAAGGGATTTGTCCAGGTGACACAGCTAGTAAGTCGCAGAGCCTGTCTCAAAATGCAGAGTGTTGCACTTCCGTAGCCCCCTCCTGCCTGCCAGCCCAGTAGAGCCCTGTCTCCTCCAGGATCGCTTGGAGCATCTGCGGAAACAGTGTGGCCCCCATGTCTCGGCCGCAGCCAAGGACTCCGTGGAGGGCATCTGCAGTAAGATCTACCACATCTCCCTGGAGTACGTCAAACGGATCCGAGAGAAGCACCTTGCCATCCTCAAGGAAAACAACATCTCAGGTAGGGAGCCAGCTATGATGCCATCAACTTATGTCCTAGGTCCTGATTGAAGAGACAGATGAGACAGCCTCAAGGCACAGGCTGGTTTGGGGAGGCCCGTTCCTCCCAGCAGTGTCTGGGACATGATCTGCTGTGTCCTTTGGCCAGTGGTCTCAGTACTCCTCTAGGAAACAGGGACAAGTGATGAGAGAAGGTGAGGGAGAAAGACAGGTAGGGGGTAAGTAGTTGGACCTTTGTTTACATCCATTCTCTGTAAGCCTGTTTCTTCAAACTGAGGTAGGATACCTGGCCAAAAGGATCATGTGAGGATTCAGTGGTAATTTAAAGTGGTTGGCCCCAAAAGATCTGAGTGAGGTATTGTAACTGTTGTGTGAAGGTAATCTACTTCTGCATGGTATCTAAGCCTGCTTGCCTGCCAGGCCCAGGGCATGGCACACTGGGGTCTGCGTCAGTACAGAGCACACTAGTTCTTGCCCCTGCTAATCACTTGGCCGTGTTCTTTGTTACCAAACTGTTGGAGTTGTATATACTCCTCCGCAGGATGGGATATACCTCCCTTGGTTACTGGGATGAGGTGTGAAGCCCCTGGCACACTGTGGGCACTGAGGCTGTCCAGGGTGAGTACTGGCAAATAGGGGGCAGGGCAGCCACTCACTGTTCTCCCTGTCCACAGAGGAGGTGGAGGCCCCAGAGGTGGAGCCCCGCCTGGTATACTGCTACCCAGTACGGCTGGCTGTGTCTGCGCCCCCCATGCCCAGTGTGGAGATGCATATGGAGAATAATGTGGTCTGCATACGGTATAAGGGAGAGATGGTCAAGGTCAGCCGCAACTACTTTAGTAAGCTGGTAAGAGCTGGGGGAAGGGGGAGGCAGACCTCCACAGGTGGGAGAAACAAGGGCTGGATATTTCTTGACCCAGAGTCCTCAGGAAGAGGCCACTGATGAGGGAGGGACCCGTGCTGAAGTGAAGCCCCCCGTTTTCTGTCCCACAGTGGCTCCTTTACCGCTATAGTTGCATTGATGACTCTGCCTTTGAGAGGTTCCTGCCCCGAGTCTGGTGTCTTCTTCGACGGTACCAGGTATAGGCCTGGGGTAGCAGGGGGGGCTCCTCTGGAGGGGGAGGCTGAGCACCAAATGCTGACTGTGACCACTCTGCAGATGATGTTTGGCGTGGGCCTCTACGAGGGGACAGGCCTGCAGGGATCGCTGCCGGTGCACATCTTCGAGGCCCTCCACCGACTCTTCGGTGTCAGCTTTGAGTGCTTTGCCTCACCCCTCAACTGCTACTTCCGCCAGTACTGCTCTGCTTTCCCCGACACAGACGGCTACTTTGGCTCCCGAGGGTGAGAGCCAGGGGCTACTTAGCCCTTCCCGCCCAGGCCTGGGAAGCTGTCATCCAGAGCACAGATCCCACCTCGGCCTGCTGCTTTCTAATGGAGTCAGGCAGTCTCGGGTGTAGTCCCTGCCTTCACCCCACCAGCTATGTGACCTTGGACATATCTCTGAACCTCTGGGAACCTGTGACCCCCTTCTAACCACGCCTGTGGGTTTCTCAGTGAATTAGCCCATATTTGGAGTACTGGGAGGAAAGACTAACATGGGGGAGGGGAGGAGGGGGAGGTGAGCACAGACAGGAGGAGCCGATGTCTCCAGTAGGAAGACAGGGCCGGGCCAGAATGAGGGAAAGCTCAGCAGCTAGGGAATTCCTTCCTGGGTGTGGCTTGTGCTGGGGTGGTGGGGGAAGGGGGGCAGAGCTGGGTGTGGGTTCCGCTCCTCCACTACTCAGCTCAGTGGATGTGGATCCTCAAGCCCGAGTCTCTCTGTCCTCATCTAGTCCATGGAGATAGCCACATCTTGTCCCAGGACAAATTAAGGATGAATGTTGGCCTCTGGCCTAATCAGGGTCGTATTGTCAACGTGGCTGCCTAAGGGTAGGGGCAATACCTGCTTCTTCCTGAGGGACTGGGACTCAGAATGCTCACCTCTGTCCCCAGGCCCTGCCTAGATTTCTCCCCGCTGAGTGGTTCCTTCGAGGCCAACCCTCCTTTCTGCGAGGAGCTCATGGACGCCATGGTCTCTCACTTCGAGGTGGGTATGCTGCTGCCGGGGCGGTAGATGGCGAGCAAGATTGCCGGCCAGCTGGAGGGCCCTGACATCTGCCCTGTGCCATCTCCCACAGAAACTGCTCGAGAGCTCACCAGAGCCCCTGTCCTTCATTGTGTTCATCCCTGAGTGGCGGGAACCCCCGACACTGGCGCTCACCCGCATGGAGCAGAGCCGATTTAAACGCCACCAGCTGGTCCTGCCTGCCTTTGAGCATGAGTACCGCAGTGGGTCCCAACACATCTGCAAGAAGTGGGTGCCCGGGGATGCAGGGGGAGAAGGGCTGGGTTGACTGGGTAGCTGAGCCCTACCCTGAGCCGCTTGCCTCTCCCACAGGGAGGAGATGCACTACAAGGCCGTCTACAATGCAGCTGTGCTCTTCCTGCAGAACGACCCTGGCTTTGCCAAGTGGGGGCCAACGGCTGAGAGGCTGCAGGAGCTGAGCACCGCCTACCGGCAGTCAGGCCGCAGCCATGGCTCCAGCTCCTCCTCCTCATCCTCCTCGGAGGCCAAGGACCGGGACTCAGGCCGAGAGCAGGGCCCTAGCCGAGAGTCTCACCCAACTTAACACATCTTGCGGGGAGGAGGAGCCCCAGGGTGCTGGTATGGACTGCTGGGACTCAGGGCTCTCCAGCTGCCAATGACACAGGAAGACTATGGCTCTGCCGAGGCTCCCCCTCCCTGCCCCGCCTCCCAACTTCCCACCTCAAACTCCAAGTCCCCTGTAAATAGGCCCCACGCCTTCTCTCCCCCCCAATCTGTGCCACCTTGTTTCATTTGTAAAAGGAAATACAGAAACTCGTAAGAATGAGTGAGGGTCTTGAGGGCAGAGAAGGCTGAGGAACCTGGAGCCACTTTTGGGGCCACGTCTCTGTACATCCAGGCTCACCTCATGACCCCCGGGCTTAACACCCCACCTAACTTTTTACCCTGCTGTCCCCACAACTGGAACCCTGGTGGCCTCAGCCTATGCCTAGCAGGTCCGGAGTCCAGAGCCTCACACCATCTATCTGGTCAACTCCAGACTCCCACAGCTGAGCCCATGCTAATTCATCTGGGGAGCAGAAGACTGGCAGCTGTGCGCAGGTAGAACGCTAGATGCCTGCTGGCCCTGGAACCACCACTGAGTGAGCAGCCAGGTGTGTTTCACTCTTGAGGGTCAGGAGGAAGTACAGCTCAGAGCTATCACAGGCTGTTTCTCTGGGGCCCAGGGGAGGAAGCTAAGGGCTCTTGTGGGGTGTGTCAGGCCTCTGCCCCAAGGGCCTGCCCTGCTGTCCAGCCACTATACTTAACAGAGGCAAGGCTGGATGCTCTGCAGGCCAGGCTGCCTCCACCTCACTGCCCCCTTGTGGTTATAACAGGTTCCACCTTTCCTTCTGTTCCCCAAGTCCTTGCCTGCTTCAGGCTGTAGCAGCAAGTGGACAAAGTGAACCGGCCAGGGCTGGACTCTGGTCCCTTTATTGAGACTGAGGCCGGTGGGTTCATCCAAACAAAAATAAATCTCTCTCCCAAAGCCTGCCTGCAGGCTAGGGCACCCAGCATGTCCTGGCTGGTGCCTATGGCTGTCCCCCAACCCCCATGGCACAGGTCTGGCTCCCTTGGAGTGACAGGATGTTGGCTGCCCAGTATCTGGAGATCCTAGGTAGAGTAGGGAAGTGAGTCCCGGTGGGTCCCCCTGACCCCCAGCAGGGCTAGCCCCAATATCCATGATCTGCGTTGTGCCCCTGGGGCTCAGTCATTGGTCAGGGTGATGACGTCGTACTCGATGCCCTGGTGTTGCAGCTGTTGGATGTGTTCAGGCACTGTCTCCTCTGTGCCAAACAGGCCCTGGGCTTGGGCCATGGCAGCGTCAGCCACCGCTGCCAGGGGAGGGGAAAGGATGGTGAGCCTGAGGCCCCAGAAGCTAAGCCTGGGCCCCAGGCCCCATGGTCTTCAGGGTCTAGCACCATACCTGTGACAGCCGAGTGTGCTGCAGCCTCAAGCTGGGCCTGTGTGACGAGCTGCTGGCCTGGAGACACAGGCACATACTGGATCTGAAGAGGAGAAGCCAATGAGATGTGGCCTTGGAAGAGCCCTGCCCATGCCCCAGCTCCATTTGGTGCCCCAAGGGCCCTACCTGGGATTCCTGAAGGAATGGGGCCCCTTGTTCGTATTGGATGTGTGTGATCTGGCCCTCCTGTACCTGGAGAGAGGAAGCCAACCTGGTGACCCCAAAAGAAGGTTGTGCACACCTCACATCCCACTTTCACTCCAAGCCTGGCCTACCTGGATATGATGGCCCTCTGGGACCACCACGTATTCCTGGGGGAGGAGGTGCTGAGCTCCGTCCTGAGAAATGATGTACTGCACCTGAAAAAGGGTGGAGAGGAGGCAGGTGCTGGGGCCCTACTCACCAGAAGCTCAGTAGGGACAGCAGAGCAGGGGCCAGGGACACCGCTGGCAGTTGCAAGCACACACCCTGGGAGGGGTGGTTTGGAAAGAATTGCTCCTCCCCAAAATGGGGCTGGGAGGGGGGGCACTCACAACTGAGGTGTTCAGCAGCAGCTCACCTGGTTGTCAGAGGTTACCAGATGCTGTACTGTCTGGCCATCTGCTGTGGTGATCTCTTGGATGTAGGTGGCTTCCTCCTGCCACAGCCAAGCCAGCTCTAGCCTCAGCTCTCCATGCACCCCACCCCTTCCCTTGACCTGCCAGCAGGGCCCCCAGAGCAGGCTCTTACCTGATTGGTCACTGTCTGCTCCTGGGCCACTATGATGTGTTCCTGGCCTAGAGCCTGCTGTAGTTGCTCTGGTCCCAGGACCCCATGACTGGACTGGAGTGCAGCTGCGTGGAAAGGGGAGGATGTTTATTTGGGCTCCAGGAAAATCTGAAATGCCCCAGCCCCCACCATGGCCCAAGGGTACTCTCTGGGGCAAAGGCTCAAGTCCCTGGTCTATCCTGGGTCCTCTGGGGCAGCTCACTGTGCAGTGTGGCCAGTGTGTCGTCATCACTGTTCAAGATGATGGTCTGAGTGGAGGTCCCAGCTGGGGCCCGGGCAGTAGGGGTCCCTGCCTTCCTCCCATCAGGACTATGTAGTCGCTGGATGTGGAACTTGAGGTGCCCGTTCCGGTTGAAACTGTAGGGGAAGGACAAAGGCTCAGGGGCAGCCCTACCACGCATGTCCAGCAGCCCAGCCCACCTGTACCCAGCCTCACCGCTGCCCACAGAGGTGGCACGAGAAAGGCTTCTCGTTGGTGTGGGTCAGCATGTGCCGCCGCAGGTCCTTCTTGTTCTTGGAAGCAAAGCTGCACTGGCTGCACTGGTGGGGCCTCAGGCTTGAGTGCTGCACCATGTGGGCCTGCAGAAGGGAGAGTCGGGGCATTAGCTGGGTCTGGACAGACAGCTGCCAGGGAACCTGTCCTCTGAAGTAAATCTGGAGGAGCCGGGTAAAAAAGTACAAACCAGACCAAGATTTGGTGCTGTGTGCTTAAGAGAGGAAAGCCAGAGGCTCTGTCATTAGGTCACTTGGAAAATCCTGTCTCTGCTCAGACTCAGTTTACTCCTAGATAATGTACAGGGTTTGGATGAAGAGACCTCTGATGGATTCTCCCAGCTCTGACATTCTAGGGCCCTGGGCCCAGCTCCCCTCACTGAGCTGCAGTGAGGATTCAGTGGATCATCAAGTCTGAAAACTAGAAATCCTGAGGTAAAGGGAGGGAGCTCCCCAGACTGGATCATGAACCTGCCCCAGGACCTTTCTTGAACTCTGCACTCTCCATATTCTTTCATGTATGTATGTATGTATGTATGTATGTAGGGGTGTGTGTAATTTTAATCCTCACCCGAGGACATTTTTGCATTTATCTTCAGATAGAGCAGGAAGGAGAGTGGGGGGGAAGAGAGAGAAACACTGATGTGAGAGATACTGACTGGTTGCCACCCACATGACCCCAACCGGGGCCGGGGACAAACTGCAACTGAGGTACGTGCCCTTAGTGAGAACCGAACCTGGGACCCTGTTGTCCGCAGGCTGATGTTCTAACCGCTGAGCCAAACTGGCCAGGGTTATATATATTTTTTTTTAATCCTCACCCGAGGATATTTTTCTATTTATCTTCAGATAGAGTGGGAGGGAAGGAGGAAGGGGAAGAGAGAGAAACATTGATGTAAGAAAGACATATAGACTAGTTGCCTCTACCCAACCCCAACCAGAGCTGGGGACGAACTGCAACCGAGGTACGTGCCCTTGACCGGAATTGAACCTGTGACTCAATGGTCTGTGGGCTGACGCTCCAACTGCTGAGCCAAACCAGCCAGGGCTGCACTCTCCATATTCTGAATGACTCAAATTTTCCTAAGTGTGCCATATGCTGCACACCTCCTCCGTGACATATCCCAGCACCCCAAGTCCACAACATGTTCCCTGTCTGTGCTCTGTCATGTGTATCGTTCACTCTGGGGACACGGTCAGGCATCATTCATGTTGCCTGGTCTCCTTCCCACAGACTGAGCTGCCTGAAAGCTTTACTGAGTCATGTCTGACTAGAGGGGAACAGAGGACTAGCTGGAGGGGGTGCTCAGTCAAGGTTTGTGACACGACCCAGTGCCAGTAGAGACACAAGGGTGGTACCTACCCGGACCTCGGGCCACTGGCGGGCACTGAAGGGGCAGTCAGGGCACTTGAAGGCACTTGGCCCGGCGTGGGCCCGTTTGTGGCTCTCCATCTCGGCTCGGCCAAAGAAGGCCTCGGCACAGATCTTGCAGGAAAACTTCTTTGCTGATGCAGTGGCTGTAGATGGCGGTGAGGGGGGCACTACCAAGCCCAGGGCTTTGCTAGTTGTAGGAGGTGGGGAAGCAGAGTCCTGAAGGTCTCCTACCGAGTGGGTTCTGGCTGGAGATGGGGGTGCAGGGCAGTCTCTGGGTGGCCCCCCACATTGCAGCAGAGGCCACTTGGCTCCAGAGGCCAGGGCATCGGCACTTGGGAAGGAGATGGAGCCATCTGCAGTCAGCTATGGAGAGAGAGGAGCATGAGGCACAGAAGGGGAAGGAGAGATGGGAAGGGAAACGGGGGCACGGTGGGCTACCCAGCTTCACCTCAATGTGATGCAGCTGGGTCCCGTCCGCTGCCATGATGTAGTGGGTGCCAGCTTCTTTAAGGGTGTCGCTCACAACCACAGCCTGGGCTGCTTCCCCTGGGGGCTCCTCGCTGTGGGGTTAGAAGAAGGGAGAAGTGAGTCAGGGTTCTAGGAGGGGATAGAGGACCACAAAATTCCCTTTCCCCAACAATCAACTCAGGGGCGACTGCACCACAGATGGACCCCTGGATCAAATCCTGGCTCCACCCTTTACTAGATAAAACCTCCACTGTCTCTTCTGTCAGTGGTGCCTTGTCAAGTATCGTCCTGTTCAAGAGGGGAAATCCCACCCCCTTGATGGGCATGGTGGGGAGTGGCAGGGTGGAGGGACCAAGGGTTCCAGCCCAAGTCTGGTCAAGTCGGGAAGACAGGGCTCACAAGGACCCAAAACCCAAGAGTAGAGGGCAGATGCTGAGACTGGGCTGCCCAGGCGCAGACCCAACGATCCAGACTCCTATCGCAGCTACAGTTTGGTACTTGTTCAGCGCTTCCTCAGACTGTCCAGGGATTTAATCAACATATAAAATGTAAACATTTCTGCCCCAAACTCGCTCAGTGTGGAGGAAGCCGAGAGCAGACACCAGGCCTCCGATGCCAGCAAGGGGCCTGAGTTTATTCCAAAAGTCAGAGCTAGAAAACACCTTTAGGAATCATCCACAACAAAGATCACGTGGGCTTTGGAAGC